TTATAAAACAGGAAACAGATATATATTCCCACATACTATAATAGGAGTGCATCGTCAAAGTTCTGGACTTTGAAGTGGGGTCATTTTTTTTTATGAGCAATAAAAATAGCAAGTATAATTTAATACAGGGATAATACAAGTACTTTTTAGTCTTTTTTTTTTTGGATTACTCCATCCGGTATCCTAAGGAAATAGGCGTCTTTCAGACGTGACAACGTCCCCAAACTAATCTGGATTCGGGGGCTTGCAAGGATCCATACGGACGGCGCCTTCTGGCCCCTTGGAGTGCTGCGTTCCCACGTCTCGAATCCGAGATCCGTAGTTAAGCTAGGACGACCCCAACCAGTCGACCTAACCCCGCGGGGTTAAGTACTTTTTAGTCTTTTAAATTTGAAATCATATCTAGCTTATAATTTTATATATTGAGTCAATTTTAAGGATAAAAAATACTGATTTAAAATTCAACTGATCAAAATCAAAACGGAAGTAAATCGTACGGACTAGAAATCATATTAATTCACTAGCAGGATTTGGGTCTAGCGGAAGAAGCTAGTCTCTCACAATTTGACAAACCAAGGTTCGAATCTTTGTTGGGAGAGGTACTCATATTTAGTACTAGACAATATCTCCAATAAAAAGATACTTATACTTTAAAAAAAAAATCATATTAATCCCTTAATATGATTGGAAAAGTTTGAGATATATTCAATGTTTTGCATCCAGTGAAGGACGTACAGGATAGGGTGAAGATCATTTAAAAAGGCGAACAACCACAATTAATTAAGTGGAAACTGGAATTGCATGAGTGTACTATTCTAATGAATTTCACGAGTTTAAAAAACGATGAGGATAATATATTAAAAAGAAGCAAAAAGGACGATTTCTGAGAGGCTGGTCTCAAACCGCACATGGGAGCAAAGAAGGATGTAGAACTGTGAATTAAATATGTAAATGATTCTTATCATCGTCATCGTCATCTATCTGTGCGTGATTAATACGCACAACAAACCCTAAACCATTCCCCCCATGGAAAAATGTTACTCCTCTGGTCCTTAATATAGGACCCAATTAGTGAGTTTGTTTTGGTCCTAAATATAAGATCCATTTCTCATATTTATCAATTTTCTCTAAATTACCCCTATAGATACTCCCTCAATCATAATCAAGTATAGAAGAGGGAGGGGGTATTAAGAGAGATGATTATGGTGTTTTAGGAAAAACATGTCACATTTTTTATAATTAACTAACTTACCTAACTTCCTTAATTTAATCAAATTAGTTAAATGGGTCTTATATTAAGGACCGGAGGAGTATTAACATTTAAGACAAAGCAAATCAAACAACAAGTTTGTACCAGTTAATACTAATCAAAGAGGTTTATTCTAACAACTCAACTAATCAATCAAGATCGAGCACAATGCATGCCTAGAGGAAATCAGGATGCCTTTTGTTTATTATTTTTCAAGGTCATTTTTTTACTTTTGTAATTTATGCATTTAAAAAAAACAAAGCAATATCCAATACTCCTCCGATCCTTAATATAAGACACATTTAACTAATTTGATTAGATTAAGAAAATTAAGTAAGTTAGTTAATTATAAGAAACGTGACACGTTTTTTCTAAAATACCATAATCACCTTTCTTAATACTCAATCTTTCTCTTCTACTTTATTATGGTTGAGGGAGTATCCATAAGGGTAATTTAGAGAAATTTGATAAATATGAGAAATAGGTCTTATATTTAGGACCAAAACTAGCTCAATAATTGACTCCTATATTAAGAACCGAATGAGTACATTTTATTAGAACTTTTTAAAACATTGGAGAATCTCACAAAAAGAAATTTGAAATTACTAAATTCCAAATCAAATTTGGTAATAACGATTTTATAGGTTTTGACATCGCTGGATTTACAAATAACAGTACGTTTTTGTAGAAATTTCTTATTTGAGATTTAATAACTTTAAGCTTCTTTTTATCGGATTTTTCTTAAAAAATATGTAATCCTAAAAAATTAAAAAAAATACACATAGCTTTTTAGTTTTGATATAAACGAAACTAATGGGAAATTTGTACAGTTTATTGTTTTTTATACAACATTTTGCATATTAAAAGTGATGAATAAATAATATAATGAATTGATTTGATTTCACTGAATAAAATTACAATGTTTCGTTTGTTTTTAACGGTGATACAATTGTTATTTTATGTAAAATTTCCATAAAGGTTTGAAACACAAATGCCGACCAGTGGTCAATAATTATTATAATTTATGATAAAAATAAAGCATGAAACATGACAACACAATGGAGATAATCTTAAAGTAGGTGTGACAACGAATTTTCAACCAGCGAAGAAATCCCATAAATAGAAACCCTTAAAAGGAAACAAAGGTGGTCTCAACTCAAAACCTTCCTTTTCCCCACTTCACTTTACTCTCTTTTTGATTCCATTCTTTTCTTTCTTTTGCAGACCTTGTCTTGCTCTTTGTACTCATTACCCCCCCCCCCCCTTCTTTCTCCCTCTTTATTCATTTTAAACCTTAACCATTTCCTAACCCTAAACCTGGGAACACATCTTCCTTTTCCTGAAAAATAAAAAAACCTGGCAAGGCTTTGAAACTAACAGAAGAGATGAATCTCGTTGGCAAAAAAAAAAAAAAAACAGAAGAGATGAATCTCTCTTCATTTCTTCTCTCTGGGTGTCGCAGACTTGCAGTAACTCTTGCAGAGTCTAATAAAATCATAAATCCTGTCAAGTACTGTTTTCCAGAGCTCATAAATAAAATAGGAGAATTATTATAAAATCTAAAACAATATAATCACCCAAAAAAATCAACAATATATGTAATAAGTAAGTAGCATGCAATAACAAAGATTTCAGTACAGAATGCATTTCTCCATTAAAATCTCATAGTAATTTTTTATTTTTAAATCACAAATCTCACTCAAAGTTACATCATCTATCATCTCTGGGTCTAGGCAGAGACTTTATTACCCTCTTCGGTACTGAATTATTGTCCCTTTTTTATTTTCCTTTACACAAACCAGTCGACATAATTTTGACAGAAAGGGAAAAAAACAAGTTGTCATACATAGGCCAATGACAATCACTTGTCCACTTCTGCATCTAGCACCTATCTATTGATAATATACTTTAAATTTTTTTCACATGATTAAATTCACGTAAGCTTATTAGCATCCTGCTGGTAACAATGAACTCGACTTTTCAAAAATCACACAATTTTAGGTTAAAAAAATAGTTTCATATAGGTTATCTTTTCATACCCATCAAAATGAACACATGGATGATACACACACACATATATACACGACTAAGTACATGCAATATATTCGAAAAAAGAGGGGATAAAAGATGGTTTTTTTATATGAAAAAAGATAGAAATTATTATGGAGTATATTTTCTTTTCACTCTCTTGCTACTATAAAAATAAAATATTTAATTCCAACGCCTCACATCTTCTTCACCTTCAGCATCTATTATTGTTGTTACTTTTGTTTTCTTCCTTCCCGAAGAATCGAGCTATGGCATTAATTCGTTGGACCACCTCCTCCTTACCTTATCATATGTCACCTTCTTGGTTTTTTTCATGGTACCATCCAGTCTCATGAATGGAAAACTTACTAATACGAACATCTTTAGACACAGATGAAAACTGCATTATATTATTGACAAACAATAACGGTGTCCTTCTCCTTGTTCCTCTGTGTGTCTCTCTCTCTAAGAAGGCCGATGATAATTATCGTTTTCAGCAGAGTCATCTATCTATCTTGCAGATTTTACCTAAGAACCTTACGAACTAATCCTAGCCAGTTCATTTCATTCGCATATCTGGCGGCAAATCAGTAAGATTGATGAAAATAAGCGAGACAAAAAGGACAGGTTTGTGTTTGATTATTATTGCATAGGCATATGTCCCAAGATTAGTTATTTTATTAAGCGAGTGGGCGTTAGCAAGTTGGGAGACCTGCTTCCTTAAAATATCTACGATGACGCTGCGAATGATGCAAGTCGCAAAAATATTATAGTATTAAACAATTACCCAAACTAGAACATTCAAATCACAGATATTTAGTATTTAAATAATTGAATTTGCCTCAATACCAGTTCAGAAGCTCTCCTTCAATACTCACAGGTCCAGAATCATTGAACCCCAAGTCATATATATGCCAATGACTCTCTGATTCCACACACATCGTTTCTTTCCCTTTTGCCCTTTACGGTAATTATTATGATTATTATCACCTTTCTTCGTAATACTGAGAGAAGGGTTTTAGGTTAAAAAAACTAAGCAATAACCGTTAAACCCAGTGTACCCTTTTGCGGGTGTTTTCTTTTTTATCTTTTCTTTTCTGCTATCTCACTCAATGTATCAGTGTCCTCTCTCGAAGTTTTAGGCTTTAAGCGAACAAGGATAGGTCCCTCCCATCATAACAATAACTTTGTCTGACTGCTTTTGGACGAGAGAACTGATTCAAAGGACACCGTTGATGGAGACTATTCATCACCATCCAGTTATATTTCCAAGACTCTCTTTGGATCTCTCCGATATTCTCTTCATAGCTCAAAAGATTTTTCTCACTCGTTACGTCAAACCAAACAACTCCACAGTACGAGAACCCAAGCCAGCTCGCAGAGAAGCTAGCCAGCTACTAGCTAGCAAGCTAGTATCTTTTCTTAATAGGTAGGTTGTTAGCTTAAGAACGAATTGACAATAAATGTGAAGGCAATATAACCCAAATAGAGGAAAGAATACGTACTGCCATTCATGGCATAAAGTAGAAGATCAATAAATTTTAAAGGTTTTCTCTTTACAAAAGAGCAGAAATTTTAGTCAGAGTCCCAGAAACACATCTAGTCGATTTGTTAGTTTGACCGTGTGTTTCCCAATCCGAACGGCTTCCTTTTTTTGTTTTTTTGGTGTGATCCCTGCCTTTCACTTCAATAGTAAAAACCTTGGTTCTATGTAACGTTCCTAAAGAAGCCTATAAAATAACATGGAATATGTTTACAAGCTATGTGGCGCACACAGATGAAGGAAAGGACAATTCTATTATGCACAAAAAGATCCAACTCTTTTGACCATTAGATTTATTTTCACTTTTTTTTTTATTGACGACCAAAATTTTTTTGTAAAATAGATCTAATGGTAAGACTGTGCTCCTTATAGAATTATCCCCAGAAAGAAGGAGGGTGTAAAACTGTAAATTATTGGAATACAATTGGTGGGACAGAAAATTTTAAAAGAGGGTCAGATCAGGAGGGTCGCATGAGAGAAGTGTGGAACCCATTTTTCTGCAGCCAGGCTTGAGAGGTAGTGATCTGCTGTGGGAATCCTGATGATGCTGCAGCAGTCGAGAAATATTGAGAGTGTCCAGATTGCCATCGTTCTTGATCATTCATTGACAATGAAAGATCACTTCCCAAACGACCTGCGTTTCCATTACTGCTGCTAGGAATCTGAAGTCCAAAAAAAAGAAAGAAAGAAATACATATGTATTTCAGCTTCAAGGGATCGGATAAAACCTAAATAAAACTTTCATCTATCCATCTACCTATCTATATATGTATAGGAATAATAAAAGTCTAGAGTTACCTACACGATAATTTGGGGGATGAAAATGTGAAAAATGGTGAACTTGAGGTTGTCCAGAAGTCTTGTAGGGACCATATCTCTGGGTTTCATCAGCGGCTGGAGATTGAAGGTGAGTTCGACTCAGAAGACGCATCGTTTCATTCTCGCCGTGCCCAATTCTTCGATGAGATTCTATGTTACTTCTATTAGGTTGTTCTGGTACCAGATTTACCTAAATTTTAAGCAACAGATTAAATGTTGGGTTCGTATGATAATTACAAGAGGAAATGTCTAAAACTGACGAGTCTGATATGTGAATCTTACCAATGACTGCCTAGCACTGTGATTTGAGCTCGCATTGCCCAGACTTAAATCCAGATTGTGATCAGCATTACCCGAGGACTCTAATGACAATAACAAGAACAAAAATAAAATTAATAAGTGCTTGTGTTTACACAAAGAACAAAAGAAAAGAAAGATTTGTTGCTTACCAGAATGAAGCTCAGTTTCATAGATGCTGGGATCAAAATTGGTGACGGCGTCCTTGCCGTTGCACTTCATTGCTGCTTTGTCATAAGCCCTAGAAGAAAATGAGCCGCGTACGAGATTATTCATATAACTCTAAAAATGATGAGGCGTTAACAAGCTTGGTAACAAGGTAAAGGAGAGATATTTATACCTAGCAGCTTCAATCTCGGTGTCAAATAGACCCAGATAGACGTACCTGAAAACGAGTGATGAATCAAATGAAGCTTGGTAAGGTAAGAGAGGAAAGAAATGAATTGAAGATGGAGGAGGAGAGGAAAGGAATTTAGATTATTGGTACTTTTTGCCTAGAAATTGGCCCATTCGAGCCTCCCATCTTCCACACTTGTGTAAGGTTACCCCTCTGTATTTGGAGCTTCCTCTCGGGAACCCAGTGCTTTGTCGGCGAAGTACGTGCACGAACTCTTCCTTCGTCAGATTGCCCATCTGTTCCACATCCAACCAAATCATCATGAATCCAAATAATTCTCATTTATTTTTTTAAAAAAAAGGGGATTGATTGATTGATTCATAATTAATTAATTAATCGATTTAGTGCTGGAGGAGATAAGGAATCACTGTTGATGATAAGATGAACGCAACTTTAGGCATCTTCTCTTTCTCTCTCACCCTCTTACCTGTTTCAAGTCTTCTTCATAGTCTTCTATGTTGAAGTTTATGTCTGCTTCTACTCCTCGGAACTTAATGGCCGCTCTATCGTATGCACTGCGCAGAGTTATCAAATATAACTTCTCTTTCAGCTTTACATTTCCCAGAATGATTCTATATAAAATATATAATGTTATATTAATGAAGTGCTTACCGAGCAGCTGCATGTGCTGTGTCAAATCCACCTACACAAAATTACCCAGACAACAACAATCTCGTCAGCCTTCGCAGAAATTTCCTCACATGTATTATGCTCTCTCCTAAGAAAATGATTTCTCTTTTGATTGAAACCAGAAAAGAAAGGAAATTAGCTAGTATGGTACAATCACTCTTTGTGGTGATAATATTTATAGCCTTACCCAGATAGACTTGTTTCCCGCAATCCCTGAAGCATCGGAGACAAACAGAAACAAAAGAAGAAGAAAAAATCAATTCCCCTTTTATAATTAGATGTATAGCTAAACAAAGTGTAGGCAAATCAATCGAAAGTATAGAGCCGTGGCTCGCATTTTATGGAATGGAAAATTGGTAAAACCAGTACTGTACGGACCATATGTGAGACTCCCATCGACCTGTTCTCCTGTAAAAAGTGACTCCTCTATACTGTGAGCTTCTCGACCGTGGGCCTCGCCGACTTTTCTTAATCATAGGCTGGGATGTCGACGACACCACTTCCACTGATTTCCCACCACCGCCGTCGCCGCTGGTCGCTTCTGGCTGGCTGAATTTTAGGCCTACCCAGTGAGACCGAGGAAAGGCTGAGCTGGGGGCGCCGGCGACGTCGTCAGCTTCCTCCACCGGCATAAACTGTCTGGTTACAGGCGGTTCAGCTTCAGCACTATCCATGGATGACTCTTCATGGGTCACAGAGAACCCGAATATCTTACTGCTTCGCTTCTTCTTCATCTTCCGGCTATCTTTCCCGTCTGATATTCCTCGGCTCCCCTCTCCGTCTTCTTCGGCGGATCCGTCCTCCATGACCACCGCGGATGAACTTGAATTGGAAACAGATCCGTCGACCCGCTTTCCTTTATCATCATTCAGCGAAGAACAGCCTTCCGATTCGTCGTCCTTTATCTGATCAGGCGAGTCGTTAAGATCCCACATTATTTTGCTTCTCACCTACCTAACAAGGCAACCAAACCCAGATTTCTGATGTCCACTCTCACATCAAAGACCAAAACTTTATCCTCCGCCAAAAGGAACTAGCCTCTGTTTCCTTCTCTCAGCCTGGCTGCCCCAATATATATGAGAATTTTGAATCCAAAAAAGAAGAGACTAAACCTAGGACGAATTAGCAAGAGAGCGAAGGAAGGAAGGAAGGTGCGAAAAGAGAGTGAAAGGAGGAGGAGTTTCAAAGATCTTTGTATTGTATTTGATAACTGCCGAATACAGCACAGACGAGGCCCGTTTGAGCAAACTTAACCGAAAGCATCACAGCTTCGCCTCTTAGCACAGGGAAGCCTCTCCTTTCCTTGTCTAACCACTTCACCTCTCTTTTCTTTTTCAATGACTCATCATCACGATTCACTCTTCTCACTCTCTCTCTCTCTGCCTCTCTCTCTCAACACGTCCTTCCTCGTTCATTAATATATCGTTAAGTAAAATTATAAACCATTATTTATGCGTCTAAAGTTTGCTTCGTCGGTAATTAATAATGCGGCAATCGAAGCCACTGATTTATAAAAATAAAAAAAATAATGGTGATAATAAAGAGGAAAGGTAGTTGGTTATTTAAATAATGGGAGGTGGGCAAAAGAGGAAAGAAAGAACAATCTCTTTCTTAAACAACTTTCCCACGTTAACCAAATCGAAAAGCATCTTGGGGCTGTCTGTCTAATTCTCTCTCATGCCTGGCTCAGTTGAAATAACCCAGTAATGGAAATGGACAGCGCAGGGAGTCGAAAAGTTTGATAAATACCCAAATTTACCTTTTCATAACTTAAAATTGATATCGTAGATGATTGGGCAACGCCCACCTCACATAGCCCTCCCAAGTCGCCAGGCGCAAGTCCATCCAGCAATTTTATCTCTTTGCAGGATCTAGTCCAAATGAGTAATTTTCCATCCCAAAAAAAAAACAAACCGGAGAGAAGGCATTTTTAATCAAAGGTCAGATCTTAATACTACTTCCAATTTTTATTTTGGTTCTAATTATAAAATTTTAATCCATTTTGTTTCTTATATTTATCTATTTTTTTTAAAGTAGTATTTATAATAATGATAGTTTTAGTCAATATATTTGATTAATAAGGATATTTTAGAAAAGAAGACACCTATTTATTATAAATAACTAACTTAACTAGTTTTTTAATATACCTAAATTAATTAACTAATTTTTATATTAAAGAAATGAGGTAGAATTTAATTTCCAATTGCAATTAGATGGGCATCTGCGTATGACCTAACAAAGATAGCTATTATCGTCTACAATTTTTTAATATTATAATTCATATATACATGAACCTTTTTAGATAACACATGCACATAAACTTTTTTTTTTTGGTGGAAACCTTCTTACATGCACATAAACTTTAAACAGTATAAACGGTTGGAAAAATATAAATTACTCCTTCGGTTTTTAATATAAGACCCATTTAACTAATTTGATTAGATTAAGAAAGTTAGGTAGATTAGTTAATTATAAGAAAAGTGACACATTTTTCCTGAAACACCATAATCATCTTTCTTAATACCCCATCTCCCTCTTTTACTTGATTATTGTAACATCCTAATTTTTATATATCTAATATTTAAACAAATTTTTATAGAATAGGTAGAGGTTAAATATATATATATGTAATTAAAATAATTCTTATTTTGTGTGTGTGTGTATGTGTGAGAAAATGAATAAAATAGCGATGTTAAGAAGTCCCACATTGATTAAATGATAGGAAGTGGATAAAATAGCAATGTTAAGAAGTCCCACGTCGACTAATCTTTAGAGTGAAGGAGTTTGAGGAGCCTATATATAGGAGATAGTGAGTGGAGCTTGAAGGGAGTAAATAATTTTCGCACATATCTGAGGTAGTCTTAGAAAAGTGCTAGTTTTGAGTTTATTAACCGTTGGATCGGACTGAAATTTGGTCAGCCCATTTGGGACATCCAAATCGTTAATTTCAACGGTTGGATCATCATTTTGATTTCCGAGTTTCAAGTTATTAGATATAAACTCTATTGTGGCATTTTCGAGGTTGGACTCTGGTTGTAGTTCACTGTTAGCTAGGAGACCAGGTAACTAAATTTCTATCTGTTGCATGCTCTAGTATGAAGTTGGTGAGCGGCTTTATAACTGATTCTATAAAAGTATATTACGTTTTGTATGAACTGTCTTGTGGGATGCTATTTTTAAAAAGATTGACATAGTTTGTATTGCAAGAAATTGGTGATCATGATTATGATGTGCTATTATGAAATTCTGTTGATTATGCATATAAATGTGTCATTTTGAACCCTGTGCATCTATTTTGGGTGGGAAAAGGAGGTAATTGGAGCTATTGAGATTCATATACTTGCCACGTGGTATTAGCCTCCATACGGAGCTCTATGGTTGGCTGTTATTGTTGTCCCACTGGTTCTTCGAGGGACTGCGACACCCCACTAGTTCTTCGAGGGGGGACCCATGGTCCACCGAGTGTCTGTGGTCTTTGGCCGGTCCACATCATTCGTGTGGTGAGCTGTCAGAGTTGCCAGTCAAATGGAAAGAACTTAGCCCATGGGTCCAGTCGGCGGAAATAAGGAGGATATAAGGATGGATTTGGGTTCAGGAATTGCATATGACATGAAATATTCATTGATATTTATATCTTTTAAATAAATGACAAGTGCGTTATTTCTTTTGAAATGTATAAATTGCATGAGAGTGGTGGAAATATTTGTCTTATATGATTATTGTGAGTTTAAATGTTAAATAAATGTTTATCAATTATTATTAACTCTGTGTATCCCACCTGATACCTCGCTAGCCCATGCTAGGGTGTGTGATAGGTAGGGATTTAGTTACTGAGACGTTGTCTCATCCTATTGTTTAACATTTTTCAGGTGAAAGCTTTAAAGGAGGGACGTCAGGGAAGGCTCAGGAGGAGTAAAGCTACATTAGCAACTTGTAGCGTCTCCTCGGTTTATGAGCTATGTTGTATCCTGTATATTGCCACCTTAGGATAAATTGTTTTTAATTGATTCATGCATTATTATTTCTTATGTCCTTTGAGTGTACTATTGTGGTATGTGTGCTGATAGGTGGCCAGAAGCCTAGGATGGCATATTCACATGTGATTTATTTATGAATCTATTATAAAGTATGAGTTAAAATTTAATTCTTAACATTTTGACTTATGAGCTATATTGTATGTTGTATTATACCTATATTAGATAAGATTAATCCTTTCTTATATAGTTTGTATTTGAATGAGTTAAAAAAATTCTTTTATCCGTGATAGAATGTATGATTGGGTGCTGCTCTTTTCTATCACGGATAACAATATTATATAATTAGTTAGTGTAGATGATTGTGATATAATTTGAGTTTGTATTTAGCATAGTTTGGTTATAAAATGTTATTTCTTAAAGTTATTATGAAAAAGTTAAGTTTATTTGTTTATTTAGGAAGGTTGTTTCATTGATTATGGTTGAGGGAGTATTTATAGGAGTAATTTAGAGAAAATTGATAAATATGAGAAAGGGGTCTTATATTTAGGACCAAAACCAACTCAAGAATTGAGTCCTATATTAAGGACCGGATGAGTATTTTTTATAATGAAATCAGTGAAAGTTTTGATCCTGATGTCCTATTAAATTTTGTGCACAAAAAGCATTGACTTTTTTTTTAGCAAAAAAAAAGCATTGACATTTGAATTGAAGTCCCTTCTAGTAAAAATTTACTGTCTTCATTGATGGTAAAAAATTTTTTAATAAGAAGTAATTTTAAAATACATTGATTATAAATATCACCTCCTGTTCTTAATATAAAATCCTGTTTAACTTTTATTTTGATTCCAAATATAAGACCCCAATCCATTTTGTTTCTCATATGTATACATTTTTTCTAAAGTAATCATTCTAACAATGATAATTTTAGTCAATACACTTGATTAGTAAGGATATTTTAGGAAAGATAACATCTATTTAAGGCAAATAACTAACCTAACTTATTTTTTTAATCTCTTCAAATTAGTTAACTGACTCTTTTAATTAGGACCGGAAGGAATAATTGATTTAATTAATTTTTAATTTCTTTTTTAAATTAACTACTTCTGAATATAAAAATAATATTGATATTTTTTTGTGAATGGAGAGAGGGGAGGAAGGGGGGAGTCTTTCCTAAAAAGTCTAATCCAAGAGTACGGGAGGAGGCAATACCCACCAATACGGCAATAGCCTTCCTTGGCTGTACTTCGTATTTATGACCTCCCGCCCTTTTTCCTCTCTCACACTCCTTCTCGGCGCGCGTGTCTTCCACCTTCCTCATTTCTTCTCTCTCCACGCCTCTCCCCATCGTATTCGCCTATTCGGGCTGTTTGGGATAAAATTAAAAAATAATTACTCTTCTGATTTTAAATATAAGACCTTTATATAAATACATTTTATATGAGATGAGATAAAATTTTTTTACATACTTATTTTATATTTTATAAATTATAATTAAAAAATTACTTATAAACTATTCTTCTAATTCTAAATATAAGATTCACTTTATAGTGTATACTGTAAAACGGGTTTTATATTTAGGACCGGAAGAATATTTAAAATAACCATTCTTCATTTGGACACCCTCCATCTAATTTTATACTTAAATGCTCCATCCATATTCTCCAATTAAACATCCCCCAGCATTTTGGGAGGAAGAAAAAAGCATTTTTGTATTTGATAATAAAAAATATAAAATTGAAATGACTGAAAATGGAAATTACTGAGAGCGGAGAGGAGAGAAGGTCGAAGTGGCGGGGTGGCTGCCTTTCTCTAAGTTTTTAATAATAATAATAACAATAATATTATTATCATTATTACTACTATTACGAGGAGAAAACATAATAAGAAAAATAATAGGATATAGTTGGAGAATTATTAATATTAAAAAGGAGAGAGCAAACATGGGAGAGAGGAGGTTTAAGAATTAAGAACCCGTTTAGAATAGCTTATAAGCTATTTGTCAAGTACAAAATAAATATATAAAAAAAATTTTGTTTTGATTTACATAAAATATACTTATAAATTTTTTTTATCATTTTGCCAAACGGGGGCCTAAGACGGAGGAAGGGGTTCCTAATAAAGGAAGAAAAACGCGGCTTTGGTTGCCAAGCTTGATTTCCTCAACTGGTAACACTTCCTGCCACGTGGGCCTCCCCTTCCTTAACTCTAGCCCAGGCCCACTCTCTTTATTACCGTATTGTCCTTAATACCCTCCTCCGCCTTTCACCCATACATGCTTCACCTAACTCCCCTTTTTTTTCCGCGCTTTTCTTTTTCTCTTTTTTGTCTTTTTTTCCAAAGAAGCTTTAGGGTCAGCAGGTCCATGACTCCCAGTCTATATGATTCCCACAATGCAATGCAGAAGTATAATGAGAATATA